CTAACCTCTCCTAGGTGAAGTGCTCCACTCAGAGTAACTTGAAACTAAATAGCCCAAACATATGTCTTATTGTATTGCAATTTCTAAAAAATTTTGCATACTTTAATTTCAGAATACTCCCTTCTCCCCAGTACATAGCATCCCAGCCTGATATCAAAGGCTTCAGGCCCTGTATCCTGCCTTAGGCAGGAATATAAGAGAGAAAAATATCACTGGATGGGAACCAGGTGGGCCAGGGTCACTCAGGGCTGGTGGGGGAGGCATGGAAACACTATTCAGAGGACACAAGGTCTGCAGGTAGAAACTCCTAGTCTACATCTTTCATGCAAGAGGAGTCCTCATCACCCCCAAGGGGGTATCTCATTCGGAAGAGCTGCACTGATTCTTCGGCTGTCACTTCATCTTCATCAATGCCTAGGCCTAGCCTGATCACATGGTAGATGTACTTGGAGAGGGTCTGGGTATCCTCAAGTGAGAAGCCAGAAGAGCACATTTTCAAACAGAAGCACTACAAGGTCCTTCATAGCTTTGTCATTCTTGTCTGCCTCCACCTTTTGCTGCAGAGTATCCACAATGGGGTACTCAGGGTTTATCTCCAGGTGCTTTTTGTCCATCATGTAGCCCATTGTAGAGTTGTCTCAAAGTGCCTGGGCTTTCATGATACACTCCATGTTGGCTGTTCAGCTGTAGATGCTAATCACAGTACAGAAGGGTGAAGACACAAACCTTGGAAATTTTCACCTTCTTAACCTTCTTTTCCGAGATTTCTTTCATGCATTTGCAGAGGTTCTCAAACTCGGTCTTGTTCTTGTCCATTTCCTTCTTCTCCTTTTCATTCTCAGGTAGCTCCAGAACCTCTTTGGTAGCTGAGACCAGGCTCTTCCCATCAAATGCCTTGAGCTGCGGCACTCAGTGCTCATTGATAGGTTCCATCACATATATATACTACCTTGACGACCTGCTTCCACACTTGTTCCACAGAAGCAGAGTTGGCAACCTGCTCTTTGCTCACCAGTGATGTAATAGATGGACTTCTGGATATCCTTCGTGTGAGAGACATATTCTGAAAGAGAAGTAATTTCATTGCCAGATGAAATGGGATGTGAGATAGCTCAGAAATGTGTCACCAATCATTAGAGTCCACATGGATCCCAAGCTTTAGGTTTTTAGAGAATGCCTTTAGAATTTCTTATACTTCTTGTCTTCTACCAGATCATAGAAATGCTCAAGGAATTTCTTAACAATGTTTCTATGAATGACTTTTAAGATTTTAGCCCTGGTTGGTTTGGCTCACCAGTTAGGGTGTCATCCCATGGACCAATGAGTCATGAGTTTGATTCCAACCAAGGGCACGTATCTCTGTTGTGATTCTTCCCTGGCCCTAGTTGGGGTCATGCGGGAGGCAGCCACTCGATGTTTCATGCAATGTTTCTTTCTCTCTCCCTCTCATACTCTCTCTCCTTCCCACTCTGTCTGAACAAAAATGGAAAAAAAGTCCTCGAGTGAGGATTAAAAATAAAAGATTTTGCTCTGCTGGAGTATTTCTCAGATGTTCAGGGGCAGGTCCTCAGAGTCAACCACACCACAGACGAAGTTGAGATACTCTGCTGTCAACTCATCATGATGTTGTTTTTCTTCTTGTTCTCAGAAAGGTCAAAAGGAGCCCAAGGGGATGAATAGCAATGCCCTGAATTCCAACTGACCTTCTACAGAGAAGTGCTTGACTGCTAAGTGATCTTCCCATTCACTGGTAAAGCTCTTGTAGAGCTCTCCACATTCCTCCTGGGTGATGTCATCAGGGTTTCTAGTCTAAATGGCCTTGGTCTTGTTCAGTTCCTTCTGATCAATATATTTCTCCTTAGTCTCCTTTGTTTAGTTTTTCTTACCCTTAGTGCCATAATTCTCCTCATCTGATCCCATGTCTTCGATCTTACGCTTCTCATCTTTATCTCCCTCTTCTTTCTCACCTTTCAGGTCCTCTGCTTCATCACCACTGACTTCTTTCTCTCATTCCTTCTCCAAATAAAGGGTAATGGGATAACCTATGAACTGTGAGTACTTCTCCACTTCTTCTTTGACTTGCTTCTCCTTGAAGTACTCTGGTCTTCTTCAAGGTGGTGGATCACTTTGGTATCCCGACTAATGGGCTCCCTGTGGTCAGCTTGTACAGTGAAGGAACCCTGAGCAGAACATTCCCAGGAATATTGCTCATCATCACTGTGCATTGTGATCACAACTACTTTCTCTGCCACCAAGTAGGCAGAATAAAAGCCAACACAAGAAGGTGAAGAGATTAGCCAAAGAAAATATATGCATAGCCTTTGGACACAGACAACAGTATGGTAAATGCCAGGAAAGGAGGAGCAAGAGCTGGGTGGAGGTGGGCAAACAGGGAAGAAATGGGGGACATCTATAATAGTCTAAATAACAAAATAATAATAATGATAATAATAATAATAAATAGAAATTAACTCATATATACAGAGAGTAGACTGACAACTGCCAAGGGGAGAGAGTTTGGGGGACTGGGTGTAAAAGATGAAGAGATTAAGCAAGAAAAAACAAACAAACTCATAGACATAGACAACAGTATGGTGATTACCAGAGGGAAAGGGGGGGGGGTGTGGGTAGGTAGAAGAGGGTAAAGGGGGGATTAATGGTGATGGCGGTAGACTTGACTTTGGGTGGTGAACACACAAAGAAAAAAAAGTCAACACAAATTGTCCAATCATGGAGATGTCTGCATCAGACTGCAGAGCCTCCAAGTTTGCCTTAATACCAAATTTGGCAATGGTTCTCAGATTATTTATGAGATCAACTCTGGTCATGCTAATACCTGTGTCCACCAGAGTTAGGATGTATTCCTGGGAGTTGAGGATTATGTCAATTTTCAGCTCTTTACCACTGTCCAACTTGGAAGAGTCAGTCAGGTTCTCATAGTGTATCTTGTTGAAGGAATCAGAAGCAATACTGATCAACTCCCAAAAGAAAATGTCTTTGTTGGAATAGAAGGTATTGATGATGAGAGACATGAGCTGAGCAATTTCTACCTGGAAGACAAAATTCTCCTTTCCATGGGGCATTTCTAAAGGCATCTTGAGGGTGAAGAGATGCAAGTACCAGAGAGCAGGGTGGGCAGGGACTGTATCCAGTTCACACACCGCAAGAAGAATGTGTGTGGGTGACTCAAGAGAGATGTATTGTAATTCTTTATTTGCATGTTTGTTTTTATATACTTGATGTGAACCCACTGCTACACGGTACATAGTGGGGTACTGGTTATACAAGAGTTGCTCAATAAATGTTGTGAATGATTGAATGCTCTAACTTTGATCTCCCAATTATCTTAACTCTAAGAGCTCTTAGTGCTTATATTTTATTTTTCTAAATTACTTTAGATTGTTCTACTAAACACTGTGTACTGGATTCCAATAAGATTAAATGGAGATGCTCCAATAAAGGTACTTAACTCTTCCAGCCTTACTTTATTCATCTGTAAAATGGGGGATAATAACACTACCTCAGTCAAAGTGTTGCTGTGTGAAATGACATTAAAGTGAACAGTACAATGCCTGGCTGATAGTATGTACTCAAACTGTTACATCAAAGTAGGTAAGCATTTCATAAACTGTTACATCTTACATTTATGTCATTTTCCCTAGCACTTTCATAGGGTTGTTGTGAAGATTGTGAGAACATATCTGTAAAACCATGTTGCAATGCACTACACAAATGTTTACCTTTATTATTACTGTCTCCCCAACTAGGTTAGAAGCCTATTCTTTTTTCAGCCTTCACTCCTTCCTTCTAAGTCCTCAGCAAAATGCATGCAGCCTTCTCCAGCTCAGCTTTTCTTTTACAGCGTCCTATCAATGTCTTCTCAGCACATATGCATATGGTTGGTACTCAACACAGATTTAAAGACAGCAACAACTCTAGAATGAACAAGTCCTTTAGCTGAAAGCGAAGCCTCTGCCTTCTTTTTGATGCTTCTTTTGTTTAACTTAATTTGAACATTTTGCCTTGATCAATTCACTCCTGACATTTTGGAGACGCAGTATAATTATATTAGATTTAGTTTGCTTCGTGGTAGGACCACTTCCGCTTTTGGCATGTCCAAAGGGAGTCAGCCTACTTTTTTCTCTTACCAAACACATAAATTACGTTTATGTAACTCACACTGCGGCATGACTTAAAAATGCTTAATTTGGGTCCTTTCCGACATTTTGGCAATTTCTATATATCACTAAATTATGAGTGTTCTATTTAAAATTAAGGAAAAACACAGTGGGGAAAAAAGATAAGCCCGGGCCTTGTGGCTCAGTGGACTGAGCTAGTCCCATGGACTGAGAGGTCCCAGTTCCATTCTGGGTCAGGGCACAAGCCCGGGTCGCTGGCTCCATCCCTGGCACCTGTTTCTCTCTCACATGGATGTTTCTCTCGCTCTTAAAAAAAAAAAAAAAAAAAAAAAAATTAGTAAAAATATATTTAAAAAAATAAGAGCAAGGTTGCCAAACACTGTATGGAAACACTGGCATGGTTACAGTGACTCAAGACAGGTGAAATTCCGGCAATCTCGTGAATTATACTCAGTTTCTGGCAAGGAGTTGAAGCCGCGTTCAGGGCGAGCGCGCTGTAAGCCTGGGCTTAACCACACACGAAGACCGAGCACGAACATCTGGAGTCACACCATCAACGCCACTAAAGCCTTCGGAACCCTGAACGGCAGAGGCTCCGGACGGCAGGGGAGTCCCGGCGGCCGGCCGGGTGAGGCCAGGTGCGCGGGTGAGGCCCGCAGCCCCGCGCGGGAGCCCCAGAGCGGCCGGCGGGCCCAGCGCTCCGCCCGCGGCGCTGCGCTCGGCTCCCGGCGGCCGGCCAGCTGCCTGGGCTCGCGCGCCGCGGGCTCCCCGTTCCCGTGCGCCGGGCGGCCCGAGCCCGCGGAGCCGGCCGCGCCGGGGGAAGGAGTTTCCGGCGGACTCCGCGCCGTACAGCTTCCTGTCCCCCTCGCCGCGCCGCTTCACGCCGCCCGCCCGGGACGCGGCTCGCCCCGGAGTCCTTCACCATTCCCGGCAGCGTCCCCCGCCCCATGCAGTCGCGGCTCCTGCTCCTCGGCGCTCCCGGCGGCCCGGCCGCGCGGCGTGTGCGGCTGCTCCTGCGGCAGGTGGTGCGCGGCCGGCCGGGTGGCGTCGGGCGGCGGTCGGAGGTCAGACTGGTGCACGCCGGGGCGGGGGCCGAGACAGGTAACCCCGGACGCCCCGCAGCCTGTGCGCCGCCGCGCGCTCTGCCCAGCCCTCCCCGCCGCTTCGCCGCGCTGGGGCAGAGCTGCGCGGGGCGCCCGAGACGGTGCGCCTCCCCGCCGCTCACTGCCGTGCAACGCGGAGGGGGGCGTTTGCACACTCAGGCCCCATTCAGCAGCCTGAGGGGTCTGGACCACGGCTTCTGAGGACGTGGAAGAGTGCTGTCCCCCGCCCCTGATGACAGTACCGCAGAGGTTAATACAGCAGCCCTCAGAGCTTGGTGAAAGCCAAACGTGACCTTGCCCTCTGAGTCTCAAGGGCCTGGGAGCCGACCTGTGCCCTGTTCCAGCCTGGGCCAGTGGTGGCTTAGAAATGTCCTTCTCGCTCCAGAACCCACTGTCCACAGTATTTTAAGTGTATCCATGAGCCTTTCCAACTTTTACAGGAGTTTTTCTTTCTCATAGTTTAACATTTTCTGAGAGCTGAAAATAATTTAGTGAAAACCCCTGACAATACAATTGAGGTCACTGAGACACAGAGGGAAAAGTGGCTTGCTGGAGGTCACACAGCGAACTAGTGACGTTATAACGTGCTCTGATTTCTAACCTCAGTGTTTTTTTTGGCTCTACCCGAATCTCTTGTGTGTTGAAATTGGAGCATGTGTTCTGGTGAAACAGGAAGGGATGTATATTGTTGCTGCTCTTGATTGGCAAAGTGATTCTAGGCAAGATGTTGTTAGTTATTGTTGCTTAAAATAATGGAGGTTTTCACTATGAAATTCTAGGTTTTCTTGCTTTCTTTCCCTGTTGTCTGTCCTCCAAATAATTCTTGCCAGCAAATGAGGGAGTTTAAATCCCATACATTTTATTCATTCATTCATTTACTGAACAAACTTGTTTTTGTTTTTGTTTTCCTATATGGAATTGTGATGTCAGATTTTGCCCCTTATCAATTATTGTGACTTCTAGGGTATTTGTTTATTGCTTTGATTTTTATTTTTTGAGTTTTTGTTTGTTGCTCCTTTGTCTTAAAAGTCAAAGGTCAAGGGTGGAAGTGTAGTATAATCTGTAACTTGGGTTTTGAAGTTCGTTTAGGTTGCAGTTCATTACTGCAATATCTACATGTAGGGATTTGAGGGTAGGTTTCTTAATTTTGTGACCCAGTTTTCTTAACTGTAAAATGAGGGTAAAGAGAGTATATCTCATAGGGTTGTTGTGAGGATTTAATTAGTTAATACAATTCCTGGGACATATTAATATTCAATAAAGTTAGCGTCTTTATTATTAGTAGTATATGTATTTTCAACTCTGTGAGAGATGTTCTGTTTCCTTGGCTTTAGAGGAACTGAACTAGTTCCTTTTAGGTTCAGTCGATCAGAAAGATCTAGGTAGGCAGATTTGAACAGAGTTGATTCATGTGAACTTTCAAAAAAGAAAAAAAGAAAAAAAAGTTCTTTGTACATGAATAATGCATGTTGATTATAAAAACATTAGAAATCCATGTGGATGTGAATTTTTAAAGTCTGTATTTATGTAGGTATTGGCAGTTAGTTGTAATGTCCTCAGAATTTGTCTTATGTCCAGCAATTCAATTATAAGCTTTGCTTCAATTGTGAGAATCGTGGACACATTAAAGACAACATATTAACTTAAACTCAGTCATTGAATCTGGCAAGATCCACAAGGAGTAGGTATGAGGACTGTGGACAAATGCAGCAGGGAACTTACCAGAAATCTGGATTCAAGTAAGAACAGCTCTAAGACAGGTAAACTGGAGGCAAACTCTTGGGTACCCTGGGCCATGATGTTTGCCATCAAGGTTGGAGTGTCCCATTTTAAATCAGAAGTTATACAGAGACAAATGTAAAACCACAAATAGCATTATGCCGTAATGAATTACAATTTAGGTTTGAAAGATGCTCTCAGGAGCACTTACACATGACAGTTCGTTATTTTCTCTCTGCATGTAATTGACCCTGCTTTCTAATATGTAGTTTGGAAAAAGAGTAATAAGATACATAAAACAATAAATGCAAGTTATATACTGTTCTTAATTTGCCTGGACAGTATGTATATCTTATTTATCTTTATATTCTTTTTGGTGCCTATCAACACTTTGTATCTAATAAGCATTCAGTGGCTTATTACGTTAAAGATCATCTGGAGAAGGAGCAGGAGAGGTTGGAATTGCCTTGTTGACTTTCAAGATAGGAGCTTTATAAAGCCTGGTAAGCAGAGGGAAGAGAGTCATTTATGTAAAGAAAACTTCCCTAAACCCACAGTTTTTTTTTATCTCTTGCTATCAGATAGTCTTAGTATCTATAATTTGTAAATGTGTTGTATTTCTTTACTTCATAGTAGTATTGTATTTTGGTTTTAGGAATAAAGAGGTTAACAAGGAGGTTAGCTATTGCTAATAGAAATGAGTGTAGTGGTTTTACAGATGGAGCCTAACAAGTTGGTTGAGTAGGACTCTGATGTTAAATAGGTTCATATATACCACAGATCAAGATCAAATGATAAACCTGGAAATACAGCTTTATAAATCAACCATGGTATATTTAGTGCTGTCCTTTAACACCATTATTATCTTTATGACTTTTTTGGTCTGAAATACATTTTTAATAGAAATATTAAAGAAATACTTTTTGTACAAAAAAATCTATGTTCAAATGGACATGGACAACAAAGGTGGGGACAGAGTGGGGAGGGAGAGGGAGGGGGAATCAGTGGGGGGAAAAGGAGAAACATCTGTAACAAAAATAAATAAATTTAAAAAAATCTATGTTCATTGTAGAAGAGCGAAAAATACAGACAAATCCCCTAAAACATAATCATCCCATACAAAATCATAACTGTCAACAGTTTGGTGTTAATGCTATGATATTTTATAATATATAACATTTATTTTTTATACAAACACATTTAAAAAAAAATAGGGATCATGTGTGTTTTATAATTTATTCACACTTATCCATTATTGCAAATATATTAGCATAGTGATAAATATTGTTATGCATGATTATTTTAAAAGGTATTCAGTTTATATATTCATCTATATAATATTTATTTTACCAAATTTCTATTCTTGGAAATTTAGGTTGTCTATTTTTAAATATATAAACAGTGCAATAAATATCTATGTATATGCATTTTTGTGATTTTTAAGATTATATTCCTGGGGTGCAATAGAATTGATGTCTGAGGAGGGGAAACAGAACTGTGGCTTCACTGAGAAACACGGTATAAAGGGAAAAACTATATTGTGGTTCAGGTCTTAGCACTGTATTTGCTACGTGTTAACTTTGGGAAAATTATTAACTACTTTGAACCTGTAGCAGGCTGTTGTGACCCTGAGAACACTATAATCCTATTGCATGTTAAAAAGGTTAGCAATGATATCTGAGAACAATTATACCTAATAAATTGTTGGGAAGACTTGTATTAGTAGCATGCAGACTAATATGGAAATTGCTGATATATTTGGTTTTCTCTTCAGTCTGTTTTGTATTACAAAAAATAAAAAAAGTGGTGACACTTAACCAGGGAGATTCCCCTCCCTCAGGAATATCTGAAGACGTTTTTGTTGTTATAACCAGGAGGAAGGGGGTGCTACTAGTATTGAGTGGGTAAAGGCCAGGGATACAATACACAGGACAGCCCCCACAACAAAGGATTATGCCGCCTCACATGTCAGTAATGCTGCTGTTGAGAAACCCTGAACTAAAGCAACTTCTTTGTCAGAGCTACAAGTCATTGAACTGTTTTTCATATCCTAAAGTATGTATATTCATTAACATAATCTGTTAATCTACAATTTTGAGTAGATTGATAGCATTAAAAGCACATTTTATTATTATTATTTTTGTTAATCTTCACCTGAGGATATTTTTCCATTGTGTTTTTTAGATAGAGTGGAAGGGAGGAGGGGGGGGGCAGGCGGAGAAAGAGAGAGAGAGAGAGAGAGAGAGAGAGAGGGAGAGAGAGAGAAACATCAATGTGAGAGAGACACACGGACACACGGATTTGTTGCCTCCCACATGACCCCAACCAGAGCCAGGGATTGAACCTGCAACCTGGATATGAGTCCTTGACTGGGAGTTGAACCCTCAAACCCTCAGCCAGCACTCTAATCGCTGAGCCAAACTGCCCAGGGCTAAAAGCATGTTTTAGATGGTCTACCACAGATGCACCTGAGATACATAACTGAGAAGAGCATTTTTGAAATTGGTAAAGATCTTGACAATATAACAGTTTCAAAATATCTGAGGAAAATACACAGATTTCTCATGGGTTAGCTAAGGATTAAATAAAAACTATCAGTCATATAAAATTATTTAAGAATTATTAGAAATTAACAAATTAAATCTCTGACAATGTTATAAGCTGAAAAAATTGTTATTGATTAAACATTGATGAAAGAATAAAGTCTTTTTGGTATTCAACCCGTGTTGATGGCCACAAAGGAAAAACATAGAAGTTTAGGTGATATAGTTGGAAAAATTCTATATGGACAAAAAGCTACTCACTCTAAAATAATGCTTTAATAAAACATACTCTATAAAAATTAATAACAGAATCCTTTGGCTTAATATTTTTTCTGAAAGCTAATTACTTGATGAAAATTTATGAATGCTAATATTATTCCGATTACAATGTTTTCAGAATATCCTCAGGGACAGAATGTCCTATATTGCTCTTTGAGCATATATCTTCTTTGTAAAATAGGAATTATTACACCTGCTCTGTCTGCCTTTACCTTGCAAAAAAAATGTATTAGCTAGCAGTCATTTGTTTTTAAGTGACAGATATGTGCACAGAAAAATACATTGATTGGTATACAAAGGTGGGAGGTCTAAAAGCTTCAGGCCAGGCTAGATGCAGGATATTCAAATATCTTTAGGGTTTGGGCTCTCTCTGCCTTTCCCCATGGTCTTAACTACTTTCCACTCTCCATGTATTAGATCTATTTTGTTGTTGTTCTATTGGTTTAAATATCTGGCG